CTTCAGACATTTTGTCCGCCTTATCCTGGGTACAGATAAAAGTTTCCTTGTGAACCTTGGGTACTGTACCAATCACTTCATCCTCAACAATGTCTGGCCTCAGGGCCATTTGTGGCTCTGACTGTGACAGCTGTGGGGGAGAGATTTCTTCCTGTACATAGCCATTTGGCTGCTTATTCATCATGTTTTTCATTGCACTTTGCATTTCGATCAGCATCCTCTGCTTCTCACGCTTAGGAATGCGCCCAAATCGAACCGCTGCAAAAGTAAAACAGGAGATCAAACTATTCTCAATCAAAAATATATCCCTGAAGTTTAATGATAAAGCAGCAACAACAACAACAATAAATTAGATTTTTATAGCACCTTTCACGTCAGGAAAATGTTCCAAGGCCCTGGACAGTGAAGGGTTTGACTTGAGCAGGGGGCTGGGTCAAGAAGGGTGGAGAGCAAAGGGATGGGGCCTGGGAAGATGACCGAAGGCATGATCAAAGAGGAAAGTCTCCTTCAAGGCTTGTCTGAAGACAAGGGAAAGTGCAAGGTAAAGGGACTCTGGGATGGAGTTCCAGAGGGTGTGGCCAGAAACGCTAAAAGGCCAGGTTGGTAAGTTTAGCTTTCTGTTCAAGATCAAATTGACTTAATCAAGCATTTCACACAACTTAGTAAGGCCATTCTTGGCTGAAATACATTACTCACCATCTCGGGACATCCCTACAGACAGACACTTCTTGAAGCGGCACTGTTGGCACCGATTCCGATTCATCCGCATTATGGAACAGTTTTCATTTTTTAGGCACTTCTTATATTGGATATTCTGCTGAATGCTTCTTCTGAAAAATCCCTGCAAAAAAATTTACAAGAGCAGTTTTAAGCTGATGCAGTTTTAAGCTGAGCAGTTTTTAGCTAATATATAAAAGAAATAATCATGGAAGTGGCACACGTCATATTTTTTACTGCTACAAAAATATCCAGGTTTGAAAAAAAGACGCTGTAGCTTTGTGATCTTTTTCTTCTGCTGTATACAGAACAGCCAGCAACAATACTTCAAAATGCTCAGATACCAAACATCAACACAAACCAGGCTCTTATCTGCCAAGCCTCTTTAAAGGAGTATTATCTTCCCTTGGAAGGGCCCATTAGCTGGCAGAACTCCAGCTCTGCTCCATGGCCTTTTCTCCAGCATCTTTAGAAGTGTTACACTGGCAGTCAGAACTTTGCAACTGCATCAATTTTGATTGGAATCCCTCTCCTCGCTTCTCCCCATGTGAAAGGGGAGGACTAATTCAATTCCATTTCTAAAGTATTGCAACACTAACATGATCGACTGTCCTGCATCATGGTAGTAAGATTTGGGACCATCCCTAACAGCCGACAAACTGACCGTGACCCATTTTTGAGAAGCAGATTGAAAAAACAAGCAAATTAGATACTCTACATAAACAGGGTTTAGGAAGAGAGGATTTGTTAAAAGCAGAAGTCTGTTTAACGCCCTTGGGCATCTTTAAAATGGGAATGGAATGGAAGCAAGGTCTCTGCTCCTCACACACTCACTAAGGCTCTAGAAACTCTTTTCAAGCAACTTTCTGTGTTTGAATAAGTGCAACATTGTCACCACCCGCATCAAGTCCCGACTGCACAGGAAATAAGTCCTTAGTACCCACAGCCTGAATAAATAACAAATGTTAAGCAAGACAGAGAATTTAAAACATTTATTTTCTGGAAGGTTGAGCGCTAAATAAATAAATGCAGGTACCCAATACATAAATATGTAATGTACACACACACGTATACATCATCTCTTTGTTCTATGTTTCTTTTTGTTTCCCTTTCTTTGATTCTTTTTTCAGGACTTCAAACTCCTGATCTATCACCAGAATATTCCTGCTACAATTTTATTCCCACCACTTCCCAGGATGTTGCAAAGTCGAACACTACAGCAACACCACCTTGCTCAATGTTAAATTGTTTCAATGCCACTAAGTGACAAGAACTGTTACTACAGCAAAACCTTTCAGTTCCAGAACGTGGAGAGCCTTCAGAAAAAACAAGATGATAACAACTGGATAAATGGGATTAATGGCATCCACTGTTTCAACAATGCCAACACACACAAGCTCTACAGTGTACATAAGATTAATAAGCAAATATTTTGCCCAAATGGGCACACGGATACATTCGTAAACCAGAACTGCCATACCATTTCCAATGGGTATATACAAAAACCTCTCACAGAGGAAGGGAATTGTCAAAATGAGTCCCCTAATAACTGCCCTTGGACCACAGAAAGGAGAAAGCATCTGGTGAGTTTACAGTGTGTGGGCACAAGGTTGAAGTCTCTGCACAACTTTTCACTCTTCCAAACAGATTGGTCACTGAAAAACTGGACTTTGTGGATAGCTCTGTGTTAAGAACAAATAATACAGATATCAATGCGAAAGTTGAGTTATTTATACTTTGCAGTAAAATCTTATTAGGAGTATTTTTCATAGAAATTTCTAACTCGATTTTGTAATGTGGAAGTCACGAGCTTGAATAAAACACTCAAAATGTTTTGTCATTTGGTCAGGTCTGTCCAATGAGCATGTCCCCGCATGTAGACCCTAATAAGTCAGAGCAGGAAATCTGGGAAGAATTCTCCATGAGCTTCACGCCTGCAGTTCGAGAGGTGGTAGAATTTGCAAAACGTATACCAGGATTCAAAGATCTATCACAACATGATCAAGTCAGCTTACTTAAAGCTGGGACATTTGAGGTATGCACATGCTATTTTTGATCTTTTGTTCTTTCCTTTGGCGCAAGTAGCTTTTTTACTTGAACTGATTCTACACTAATGATTATAGGGTTGGGGTTGGATTTTGATATCTAGCTCAGTTTGTAGCTCTCACTTTTGAGTCAGAAAGTTATGGGCTCAAGCCCCACGTTGGGCCTTTGAACTCAGTTAGACTGGCAGTGTTGTCCTGGGGTCTTCTCTGCCCCACAATTGATGCAAAAGTCTACTTGTGCATAAAAATAATGGTACGGATTTGAAACAACCTCAGAAGAAAAAAGCCTGTTATGTTTTTCCTGGTGTAAAGGTTTATGAATGTTGAATCATGCAGCTTGTTGGCTGATGCGTTAATGAATATCTGTTTCCGTTGGCAGGTGTTAATGGTGCGGTTTGTGGCTCTGTTTGATGTGAATGAGCGTACGGTCACATTTCTCAGTGGAAAGAAATATGGCATTGAAGAGTTGCGTGTGCTGGGGACAGGAGATTTGTTGACTGCCATGTTTGAGTTTAGCGAGAAGCTGGGTACACTTCAACTCAATGAAGAAGAAATGAGCTTATTCACCGCTGTTGTCCTGGTTTCAGCTGGTAAGGAAAAGATTGTGTTTGAAGTAGGAATAGGTAGAGAAGTATTATAAGTATAATAATAGTTATAAAATTTAGTAGGTTTATTTATCTGTGTGTGTGACATGAAAACATAAAGCACTGACCAATTAGCTGTCGTCGGTGTGAGAATTCCTAATAGTTTTCCACGTGAATGTACTTGTGAATATTAATAAGATTATCAACGCTTTCTTTGTTTTATTTCCTAGATCGATCGTCCATAGAAAATGTTAACTCTGTAGAACAGCTGCAAGAAATACTAATTCGAGCACTCAGAACCTTAATTATGAAGAATCATCCAAACGAATCCTCCATTTTTACCAAACTGCTGTTGAAATTACCAGACCTGCGGTCTCTTAACAATATGCATTCAGAAGAACTATTGGCCTTCAAAATCCATCCTTAGGTTTAAGAATGCAATCTCCTTGTTCTGGTTCTTTTTTGTCATTGTATATTTTGAACAAGTACGCACATTTATGTATATAAATGCATTTTTCTCCTTATTTTTGAACTATAAAGGGAGGTAATATAATCAAATAAATAAACTAGAGGTATACAGAAGATATTAAAATATATTTTAAAAGAATTTAACTTGTAAGTAACATGAACCTATATATAAATATATATATATAAGAGAGAGAGAATACTCTTATGTTTACACTTCACTATTTAAAGATGACTTGCATGTATATGGCTTCAGTTTAAAATTGATGTTGAATTAAATTGACTTTCAAGGAAGTGTTTTCACGTATTGGGCGAAAACCTTGATGTTATGAAGAGCTTTATGGCTTTTTTTTGATATTCAGAGGAACGCTTTAATTTCACAAGCCCCAGTCCCTTGATGCTGTGTATTGATGTCAGTGAGAGAACAAGAATACAGGTTTAAGGATCCTGGAGCATGTTCAAAATTTATCCTCCTTAGCCAATTTTTTGAAAGATCATTATCATGATAGCCTTGGCAGTAACTTGTGGAGTCATCTTCTTGCTGCTTCAATTTAAGCTAAATAAATTTAAGTAATTGTGCAAAATATTGTAAAATTTTTTTGTTAGCTGCAGAGTTTCAGCTGAATAAAACACATCATGTGAATTGTATTGCATCAAAGCAGTAATATTTATAGGTTTGGGTTTGTTCTTGGTGATTGATTATTATACAATGTTTTACTCTATAATCACTTTTGATTGGGAACAGTTGCTGCAAATTAGTTGTTTGAAATCTTCAGTTATTTTTGTGTATTGCATAATTAGCTAACATGTGCTTAGCTGCTATATTCAGATACTTGTACTAAAGCTTGCAGAATTGCACATCCTATGGAGTTTGAATCCTTGGGTTACTTTAGAACTTGCTGACTCAAACACCTTGTTAAATTAAATAGCTTTCCAGGGAGTTTGGGGAATTGGCCGAGCTTGGAGCTTTTAAAGTTCTCAGAAAAGTACTTTTTGGCTAAGCTTCTGTTCTACACCAAATGTAAGAGACCGCCTTTCCAAAATTCTTCACCTGCAGTTTTTGTCCTATTCTTCACCCACTTTTCCATCCCTAGCTGTAGATTGTTCGCCTTTCAAGAAAATAATAATAATAATCTTTACGTTTGGTATATCGCCTTTCACGCCTGTCTGGAGAACATCTTAGTGCTTCACAGGATTTACTATGAAGTGCAGCAGCTGTGTGTTTTGCAGGCAAACTGCAGCAAATTTGCTCACTGCAGTGTCCCACAAAAGCCATGAAGTGAATGACCAATTTTATCTGGGAGATTGTTGGCCATGACACTGGGGGAAACTCCATTCTCTTTACAAATGGTTTCTTGGCATCTTTGACACCCCCTGAACATCGAGATGGGACCTCAGTTAATGTCTCATCAATGCAGTCCACTCCCAGCAATATTTTGGAATATCGAATATGGCCCTCAGGCAGAGTAGCTTCCCAGAGCCCTTGTCAGTGGCGGTTGAGCATGAGGCAGAGCCTGTGAGTTCCAAGTTACAATGTGGGGCTTAAACCCACAACCTACTGACTCGGGTGAGACTGGTAAAAACAGCTTGGCTGATTCCATTACCAACCTGTAATACAGGACAAATGTATATCTAGCTTTCCTAGTAAACCAAGTGATTATGATTAGCTTTTTGAAGTCAATTTTGCTCATGATAACTGATTCCAATATTTGATTGTGGAGTGTCAGTATCCTCAGAAAAAGTCTAAACCTATGGCCTTTCAAGAGTAAGGAATTTGAACAGTAGAATTAACTGCAACCAAATTATTGGGGAAAGTGCTACTGGATTGCCCCCTAAATTAAATAAATCTTGATGTGCAGCCATGAGTATTGGATGAATTAAGCCAGATAAGTACCAAATAAAGAAAACAAAAAAATTACATTTATATAGCACCTTTCATATCAGGAGGACGTCCCAGTGTTCTGGACAGTCAAGGGTTTGCACCCTTGAATACTCTAGAAAGCTGGGGCATTCAGCTTTTAGATATTTGTATGTAGACCTGCTTTCGAAAAATATTTCTATCCTGACTTGATTTGGCCAGTTTATATTTGAAATCTCAGTACTGTAAACATAAAACCTCATTGACTTTGAATTTGATTTTGCAGCCAAATTTGAAGCACTTCTACTGGTTATGTATGTAGCTTCAGATGTATTCTACAATAATCACTGGGGCTGATTTTTTTGTTTTGGTAGACATTTTGATTTCTGACTGAGTATATGAGTGCTCAGCATTGTTTTGCCAGGAGAGGTTATTATTCTGCTTTCCATGTGTACATTAGCTTCTAGTGGCAGAAACAAGTTACTGCAACAAAGCTAAAGCCTGTTGTACTCACCCATCTGCTTTGGACTTTGAAAGTTCTTTGAAGACCTCTATACATACAGTGGAATTTTTAAGTTTAGCTTTGCAAGAATGTGTTCAAAAGAGTCATCGTGAAATTGGATTTGGCAAATTGTTTTGTTTGAGGGAAGAGAGTCTGTTGTTATTAACATCATGATAATGTTGCAATACAAGTGACTTAATGATGTTTGAATGTAATTTCGATTATCAAGGTGGTCAGCTTTTTAAAGAGAGAAAAACTTTTTGATGAATATTTTGCCTTTTTGGTGAAGAAATGTGGCTGGAGAAGAAACTAGGTGTAGCAGGTCTTAATCTGATGCTGAGAACATTTGCTTGATTGTTTCTGATAGGGATGTTTGATTTCAAGTGGTTATAGATGTAAGTGACCAATGGTTCTTAAGAAAACAAGAAAAAAATTAAACTGCAGAAGGCACAGACTTCAATAAACATTTCGTGCTGTGTCTGTAAAATGACAGTACTGTTCTAATGTATATCATTAAGGAATAAACATTGCCAATACCCATTTATCTTCTGTCAACTTTTTATTACTGATATATAGTCTTGGCACAATTGTTACAGATAATTATTAATTTTCTCTTGCGTCTTTTTCCTCTTTTGAAGAAGGTCATTCATGTTGGAGTTGGCAATCCTTTTGGTATCTTGCCCATGTTGCCATACTTGATGTCTGTCTTTACTGTGAGTGTTGGTGGGGGGAAGAGGGAAATTACATACAAGCCTAATCATGTCCACAGATGTTTACTGTAGATATCCATGGATAAAGCCAATTGTTGCTGCTCCTTGCCTCCCCTGCCGCTCATGCTTGAATCATATTTCAAAGTGTTGTGTTTCGAAACTTGACGGGACTTTGTCTGAACTAATACCTTTAAATGGTTTGCTTCAAGGCCAATGAGTCATTTCAAAGAGGTGATTGGTATTAGATAATCCAGTTACTTTCAGCAAATTGACAGATGAGTGATAAATGACTTTAATGTTGAGAAAAATTAGGTAATAGTACTTTTGAGTAAGTGCCAAATAAGCTGTTAAATATTGGTATAGCAGGAAAAAGATCTGGGCATATGTGAGCCTTCCTTGAAAATATCACAACATATGGCGGCAATTATCTATGGCAAAGCACCTTTGTGCATAGTCCAACATAAAATAAAGCTCTAACCACGCTGGGAATAGTTTGTTTTCTAGACACTATACTTAGGAAAAGATGATGAGGTATTGAAGAGTTCAAAGAAGGATGCTCTTTAATTTTCTCTACCCTTTAATGGGGAAAAAATTCTACGTGGGTGTAGATTTACTCTACGTAACACTGTTGAATTCAATCTTACTTTTGAAGTTTGATTCCTTTAGTTCTTAAAAGAACTTATGGAAAACCGGCTTAAAACTTGGGTTATGTTTACAAACTTGCCAAACTGCATTCTCTAAAATGCTACAGAGTGAATCTAGACCCAGGGGGAATTTCTCCTCACAAATCTCATTAGAAAAAAGAGGCTAAAGTGACAAAGATCTGGGTTTAAAATTATGAAAAGAATCTATAGGATCTATTTTTGTTGACTGGGAGATGAGAACATGAATATCATCATGGAAACTGAGTTCAAACTAATCAATGACAGATTGAAGGCAACATTTCATGTTGAACTTTGTTGCACACTAGGAAACATTCAAGGAATTCCTGGTACCTACTATACATCTAGTGAGAGCTCAAACCCACACTTGTCAGACATCAAGCTTAACTGGCTCCAAGGATACTTTGGCAATGGAATGTGGAGTCCTGCAGTGTTTTGGATGGAGCACTTGCCTTGCAAGCGAGAAGGCTTGGGTTAGATTCTAAGGACCTGGGTTAGATTCACAGGGCGAAATCGTAGGTAAGTTTCTTTTCTCCACAAGCCTCTATTTACCTAGTAGTAAGTAGGAATCCAGTTGTTACTCGATTGCTGGATTGCTTTTCCGTGGGTAATACTTCCATCAAAAGTAAACAAATAAATAAAATAACAATTTGGTCACTCAATCACGACTGCTTATGGGACACTTCTGGGCACAATTGACTGCTGCATTTTGCCCAGAAAATATATACAGTCAATTCACTTTACAGTATATTCTGTGATGCTCTTTGGGATGATTCAAAAACCTGATAAAGCAATAAAAAAATGTAAGGATTAAAAATTCAAGGAATGTTGGAATCGAGTCAACCCTCCAGTGATTTTTCTAGTCCAGTTCCTGAGTGAGGCAGGTCTGCAGTATTCCAAGGGCACTACTAATGACAGCCATCCTGGCTCAGCAGCAGGGTTACAAGGGCAGACCAGTCACTGGGGCAGGGACTCTTCACACTCCACTCTCATTAACTCTGTAAGCTAAAGTTATTATAGATAGGCTGGTCCTAGCTGGTCAAGCAGTGAAATGCTTGCCATGCGGTGCTATCAATGGCAAGCTATGAGGTTTTATCTGGTTAGACTCCAGCAATACCCCAACACACACTCTGGCTCTTGTCAACCTGCGCCTAATAGTTTCTGGAATTAGGTAAGGCGGATATGTCCCTCCAGGGAGAGAGTGTGCATTCCAGTCCAACAATCTCTGGGACTTCCTTGTATAGATGGGATGCATGAAATTCTGTTTGGTTTGGATACTCTTAAGCGTGGTGATGAGTTTCCACATATGTCAGACACCCGGATGTCCAAAAACAAACACTGATATACTGCAATGATGCAGACTCGGTTAAATCATTTAAAACTATAACATAGTTAAATCCACTGGGATTTACAAATATGGATTTGAAAATAAACAAAATTTAAATAACAATGTGCCAGATGACCATAAATATTATATATTATTTTCTACAATCACAACTAGTATTGAGACTATGTAAAGAAGTGCTCATTGGGAAAATATCTTTATAATAATAATCCTTGCATTTGATATTGCAAATTATCAAGTCATTGAGACATCTCGAGGCGCTTCACAGAATATACTGTAAAGTGAATAGATTATATTTTGTAGGCAAAACGCAGCAGCCAATTGCGCGCAGCGGTATCCCACAAACAATCGCGAATTGAGTAACCAAATTATTATTATTTTTATTATTGGAGGTGATTATTGCCTCTCGAAAGAGATCTGCCAACCGACAAACAACGGGGTTCCTACTTACCTCTAGGTAAACAGAAGGGTGTGGAGTAAGCGAAACTTGCCTAAGACGATATATTTGTATTGCAGTGTAAAATGACAGCATAAATGATATCTTCTAGGGAGAGCTAAGTGCTTAATTATGTCTCACTGATTCAAGACCTTGCTCTGACTTGAGATACCGTTGACCACTGCCTCTCCTCAACCTTTATGGTTTTGTCCTTGAATGGTTCAGATCCTACCTCTCACGTGGTCTCCACTTCATCTCCATAAACGTTTTTTCTTCTAGCCTCCGCACCGTCTCATGTGGTGTTCCTCAGTACTCTGTCCTTGGTCCCCTCCTCTTCAATATCTATATGCTCCCTCTTGGTGACATCTTCCACATGTATACGGATGACACCCAACTCTATCTCTCTGCCTCCACACTCGACTCCAGGACCACTGCTGTCCTGACAGAAGGTCTGTCAAACATCAAGTCCTGGATGAGACCTAACTTTCTACAGTTGAACGTCAACAAGACCGAAGCCCTCTGCTTGGCTCCCATCAGAGCCTCCTCACCTCAGGCGCTGACAGCATCACCATCCAAGGATGCACACTCCACCTCACTGAGCCAATCTGGAGCCTGGTGTCCTGTTTAACCCTCAACTATCCTTTTGATCCCACATCCATGCTATGACCGGTTCTGCCTTCCCCCACCTCTGCAGCATCGCCTGGCTCCGCCACTGTCTCACACCGGAGGCCGCTGAAACTCTCATACACGCATTCAGGACATCCAGGCTTGACTATGCAAACTTCCTGCTTGTTGGCCTCCCCAACTCCTCCCTCCATAGGCTGTGGATCATCCAGAACTTTGCAGCCTGTGTCCTCTCCCTCACCAGGCTCTGTGACCCTATCACCCCTATCCTTGCCCAACTCCATTAGCTTCCTATCATACAGAGGATACAGTTCAAGATCCTGGTCCTCACCTCCATGATCTTGCTCCTCACTACCTCTGCGACCTCCTAACCCCCTACCAACCTACCCATTCCCTCCGCTCAGTGGGCTCCGGCCTGCTTCATGACCCCCGCCTCACCTGCCCCACCATTGGCGGGTGGGCCTTCTGCCACTCTGCCCCTACCATCTGGAACTCCATCTTGCAGTCCCTCCATCTTGCCCCACTCCCTTGCCTCCTTCAAGAGCTGTCTCAAGACCCTCCTCTTCGATTGTGCCTTCGATCTCTCTGCTTCAACCCCCTGCCCTTCACCACGCCTGATCCCGACCCCCAGCTCGGGTCCAAAATTCTGACTGTCCAGTGCCTTGGGATGTCCTCCCGATGTGAAGGGTGCTATACAAATGTAGTTTTGTTGTTGTGATGGGAGATATTTATTGGAATGGAATATGCACCCTCCCATGGAGGATCCTGCTTACCAAATTCTGGATCATAGTAGGTGCCAGGTTGGCAAGACTTGAGGATCCCACATGCTTTGGGGTACTCCTGGAGTCTAACCAGTTAAAACCACATAGGTTGCCAATGAAAGCATGAAATGCATTAGAACACTGGCACCACTTTCTGCCCACAGCTCGGACACATGTTGAGCGAGGGTTTCACCAGTTGTGGTGCAGAGCTTGAGCGGCAGCTGCTTACCTCTCTGCAAACTAATCAACATGGATACCACTCCCTGGATATATCAATGTGTGTTCACAAACTCATATTCCAAGTAACGCCTTCCAGCAGCTGTTGCCCCAAGCCTCAGAGTTTCCCCATCACCTATCTGATGGACATCTGCCTTAGCGTGGTGGAGGACCTTTACTTGAGGTCCAGGTCCAATATTGGAAACCAGCCTTACTCAGTGTACCAGCTGTGAGGGGCCCTGGGAAATAGACATTTCCACTGTGAAACCAGTGATTGATCTATTTTATTTGGGGGATTATTGGCCAAGAGACCGGGAGAGAATCTCTTTCCTTTTCAAATAGTGCCACAGAATCTTTAAAGGCCACCTGAACAAGCAGACGGGGATCTCTGGGGACGGGTTTAATGTGTAATTTAAAAGACAGCACCTCCAACAATGCGGACCACCCGTAGAACTGCATTGAGTATCACATAAGATTAAAGTCCCCACATGAGGCTTGAACCCGCAACCTTCTGATACACAAGTAGGAGCCAGGCTGACACCTCCTACACAAGCGATATATATGTTGAAATCAAACTACAGAGAAATAAAATAAAATATGGTGTTGGATCAGGCCCTGTTGTGGACTGGGATTAATTATTTTAGTAACTCATACATCTGTGTGCAATTGGCTGCCGCGTTTCGCCCACAAAATATCCAGTTGATTCACTTTACAGTGGATTCTGTGAAGCGCTTTAAGACGACTCGAAGGTGTGATAAAGCGTTATATCAAATGCAAAGATTATTATT